CATTCCTGTGTCACCTACACTTGGTGATCCTGCTCTGGCAGGGGGGTTGGACTACGTGATCTCTAGAGGTCTCTTCTGGACCTGAACATTCTGTGATTAAAAGCCTGTTGCAGTTATCAAAACCTACTCTGTAATAAACCCAAGGGCAACATTATTTAACTTCATTTCCAAACTAGCAGCAAGCATACAAGACCTTACCATGAAAATATCTTTTGATACAACTTCTAATATCATTGAAGTGTCTGGAATCTCTATCGAGCAGTCTCAGAAGAAATGACAGCATTTACAAGCTGTGCCAAACTTACCTGTCAGCACAGAACATCTTTATCTTAACATTCATCCAATTCTAGACCTTTGTTTGGACCAGCAAGGACATCAAAACCTTTTAAATATATTGACTGATCTCTGTGTTGCATTTCATGCAGCTTTTATTAACAGTTTAGAAGTTTAAACATAGAGAGAAAAGTTAAATTCTCTCTATACTAAAGACTGTAACTACAGACTGCAAAGTAAGTGCTGGAATTTATCAAACTTGCAAGGACACTTTGAATGGCTCCCAGGGATTTGGCAGTTGTGGCCTTTAGACAAAAATCGTACTCACAGTACAATCTTCATCCACGATGAAAATGGTACACCTCTGCACTTGCATGAAGGATATTATAGTGGCAGCGATCTTCTTCAGAATTACTTCCAAAGACTGCTGCTCTTCAAAAATTAGGCTGGCAAGATCAAGAAGCACCTGGAGGAAAGGTCTTAGGTGAAGTTTGGACTGATTGTGAATTAAGCAATAATTAACATTACTACTGTCTTTGATCATTCTCCTTACCCCTGCATCAAAGAAGTCGACATGTGTGTCTGTGAGCTAAATTAGGTCTTTCATTTCGCACAGACTGCAACGTAAGTAAATATTAGCCAGTTTGACACTTTCTATTGAAGAAATAAATCGCATAATTATCTGTCTGATGTTTTCAGAGAGACAGAATAGATTTGGGCATTTTCAGTTCATCAAATGAAACCTCAGAAATCTTACCCACACAGTTATCTGTCCTTAGGAAACCTAACAGTTTCTTATGGCTTATGTGTGCATTCTAAAAACAATGATACATTTCTTAGAACTATTCAACACAAGTATTATCTGTTGTAATTCTGTCAGAGCCTACTGAACTTAATTGGCAAAAACATAATTTATATAATATCTGCTATTTCAAAACTGCTGCTGAAGGGCTTAGCTGCTCAGGTGTGCTCATATACTCCTTTCTTCACCTCACAAGAAGCATGGAACCAATTTGAAAAGATTATCCAAATTTGTACCAATTCACAAACACCAACAGCCACTTGGAAACTCCAATCTAGCAGAATATTTTTTAAAGCAACTGCTGCCTGGTTGTTCCTCTAAAATATTTTCGTAACTGGCAGACTGGTTAGCAACTATTTTACAGTTGTACAGGCTAAAAGAGCAAACCATGTAACCTCTGCTGTTCTGCAGGGATAATTCTATCTTAAATTCCCGGACTATGTACACCTCTGGTTGTATAATATATCCAGTGAGCCACAGAATATCGAGACATCAGCAATATCGGCTATATTGACATAGAAGCTGGAGTGAGCTCACCTACATCTCAGTGCAGTTAGTGAGAGTTTGATCAGAGATATACAGCATTCAGTTAATCAGCCAAGTAATAACTACCATATGAAAAATACCAGGAGCAGGCACTGATGACTGGCTAATCATCATAATCTCTGTATTCTTGGGACAAACTTGTTGACCGTACCTGATTACGCCTGTTCTCCAGCAAAGACGTCTCATACAATTGAGCGTTGTGAAGAACAATGCCACAAAATGCCAAGTAGGCAGCAAAATCCTGAAGGCAAACCAACATTGACACCTCATGAAAATCATGTCTCACACCATCTTAATTCTATTCAAAGATAAGCTACTGCAATTTTTTGTTTTCACTTTCAAGTATTCATTTATAACTTTAAGGTATTTCTAACAACCACATATGCAGAGTGGTTTAGTTAAGTTACTTCTATCTCTCTACTTCATCAGGAGTCTCTTCTTCCTATTTTCAATTAATGACCTTCACAGGTTATCCTAAGGAAAGTAGGACTGATATAAGAAGCAGCTGAGAGGAATCAAGTAATTTTGCAGCAATGCGTATTTTAACTAGAAAAACTGAGTGCAGACAATCAGCCTCTCATTTTGAAGAACTCAGTCTTTCAGAAAGTGGAAATAAAATTCTGCTAATATAGAGAAAAAACAGGTTTTCACTCTTTTGGAATGGAAATAATTCTGATATACTGCAGATGCCCAGGATGCACTTTGTTTTAGAGGGGAAGTTTACTAAGGGGAAAGGAAAATTCCGTTGTGTTTTTTTTGTTGTTGTTGAGGGATAACTCAACCTCTTCAGTCTGAATGCAGCCTGTTCTTTGCTTCACCAGTTTGAATGTAAAGCCTGGAAATGTTTGGAAAAGTAACTGCAATGGGAGAACCATGAATCAAGGTGCTGCGTCCTCTGCTGATTGTCTCATACATTGGTCATAATTAAATCAAAGCCTTTTCTTATCCTGCAATTGCTTCTTGAGAAGTGATACAGTATGGAAAAATAAAATAGAAATGACTATATATTTCAATATTCAAAATAGGGTTGTAGGGGATGCCAGGAATGTTAGAACCAATTGATAAAAACCAATGTCTATTCAAAGTTAAACTGCTCTACAATGCTCATCTATAAATTAAACTATTATTTCACATCCACATTTCTCATGGTCTCATAAACAAACTTACAGCATTACCAGGAATTTTTACTTTTTCAGATATGTTTAATTTTAAATGATTTTAAATTTTCTGATCAGTATGAGAAGTAATAGAAAATTCATCCCCCACTCCCCTGTAAAAACAGGAGACATAAACATACCTTTTCATCTTGTTCAGTGAAAGTGCCACCAATTCCAGATTTCTTATTGATTGCTTGAGCCACGCCAACAACCTACACAATCGAGTAGTTCGATAATTTTTAGGGATATGTCATTGGATTCTACTTCTAGACATATTTATAGACAACAACAAATGATCATTGCAAGTATTCATTTGGTTGACCTTTGGATAACAGAAGATATTTAAGGCTGGTTTTTTCTAATTTAGACATATAACAAAGAGCTGAGCACAAATCTGAAATATAAAAAAACCCAAAAAACCAAAAAACAATGTGTAACGAATATGGGATTCCCTTACGAAGGGGGCTTGATTCGATCCAAAACTCGTTCTGGGTGGCGATTCTTCCAATTTATAGAGAGACAACAACAGTTAATGCTTCTGCAGTCATAAGCCAGACCACACAACAGCTCTCTCTAAATTTCATCTGCCTGTGTGGTTAGAAAATACCTTTCCTGCTAGCTCCAATAAGATTTCCAAAACATACTCTCCTTACTGGATCTAGACTAAAGCTACAGTGATCTTTTTGTATTTTCTATCTCTCTGAATCTTACCAGACTCACTTCCATCTCCTGAAAATTCGTATAAAAAGGCTGCATTCCCATTAGTCTCAGGTTTGTTACTCAACAAGACATTTTGAAAAGCAGGCTTTTACTAAGCCCACATTAAACCAACACTGGGAAAAAGTATTTGTTATGCTCCAGATGATAGTTAGACCATTCTTCTTGCCAAAATATCTTGCCATTTTCAATTATTTTCCCTATGAACATATTCCTGTAAGAGTCTCCCAGGAAACCAACCTGCCCTGCAAACAATACTCCTTATACAAATGAAAATGGAATTAATACATTTGTTTATACTAAATTCAGTTTCTAATGCAGGTTACAACTGACATTTGGGGAGAAATGAAACTGGGTGGTTGCTTTACACTCTTAATACTCAACATAAACGTCTTCTCTGGTAACTTGGAACTGTTTTTCAGAGCCCAAGACAAAAATAGAATTTGGACATCTTCAAGCCAGTATGAAGAAAAATCAAGCATTTTCTTAAAATTAATTCATTGCGATAGAATTTCTGTAGATTCCACACTGCTGGTCTTCAAGTGCTGTACTGGCAGTGACCACTCTGTCCTGTAAACTAGACTAAACTTCCGAGTTCTGCACTTACCCTTGCACTTCCCTACTTCTACTCTTCAAGTCATAAACCACCACTTAAATTTCCCAAACTGCTAAAATTGGAAGGCTTTCAGAAGGAGAGACAGATTAATTTCAGTTGAGATATTTCTGAATTTCCTTGTCAGTAAGGTGAAGACAAGAGGTTTTCTAACTCCAACATTTTGTCCTTCAATTAAAAAAATGGTTATTTAATTTTATGCTACACATAACTAACGCACCCTCTTGTTCCCTACTAAATCAAATTGTTACCGTAATACATATTTCTCTCTGATGCAGAAATATTTCCTAGATTTCAAGGCCCTAGCATTACCTGTCGTGGTTTGAGATCATGCAGCCAGCAACAAAGAACAACGCAGCCGCTGACTAGTCCATACTCCGCTCCTTTTTGAGACGGGGAGGAGAAAATTCAGCAAAAGGCTCGAAGATCAGGATTAAAGACAGCGAGGGCTTACTCACCACTTATGGCCAACATGCAAAACAACAGAGTACGCTTGGGAAAAAACATGAATTTAATTTCTCATTGTTCATGCCGCTACTTTCTCCTCAGAAAGGACTCCTCGCAATCTTCCCCTGCTCCAACTTTGAGTCCCTCTCATGGAAAACTGTCCTCCTTCAACTTCTCCTATGTGAGTCCTTCCCAGGCAGTCAAAGTTCTTCCCAAACTTCTGCAGCAGGGGTCCCTCCCACAGGCTCCAGTTCTTCCAGAGAAGATCTGCCTCAGTAGGAGCTTCCCTGGGAGTGAGGGCACTCTTCAGGCACAGTGCTCCACACCAGTGTGGGGTCCAACATGGACCATGACACCCCAGATTCTACACCATCATTAATCAGGGGCTGCAGGACCTCATCCTGCCATTTCACCATGGGCCTCAGGGAAATCTCTGCTCCAGTACTCTCCTCCTTCTTCTTCATTATCAACCCTGGAGACTGTGAGGTTGTTCCTCTTACTTCACCCTTCTCCTCAAACCAAAATGCTATTCCACAGCTTTCCCCTCTTTAGCACATTGATTAGAGAGGCATTGATTGGCTCAGCCCTGGCCAGAGGCAGGTCTGACTTTCACCTGTGGGAGTAGCTAGAAGTTACCACAAAAATCCACCCAACACATTACCCTAATATAATTCACTATGTTTCCAGTCCTTTTAAAACTTGGCAAATTATTGCTAATCTTACTTTAGACTTAAAATAATCTGAGAAAATACATTTTCCTTGCTTTATGAAGCAAGGTTATGGTAGCAAGAAATGAGAGGTTTCTTGAATTACTACCAAGTGTGGGTAGTGAACCTAATGCTGTTTATTGGAAGGCATGAGAAAGTAGATGACCTTCTGAGGAAGGTGTCAAGTGGAGGGTGGGAACAATTATTTTTGAGCCGTTTCTTATACTGGTATCCAGCAGTGAAGCCCGTAGTTTATGGTGTCAAGCTGAATGATCACAAGCAGTACTGGGAATGGATTTAGATTAAGGCAGAGCTGCAAAAGAGGAGTGGGGCCAGAGCAAGAGGTAGAAGAGAGAGAGAGAGAGGCTGGAAACTAGGAGGAGCTGAAAACCCCTCTACTTTCTTACACTATTCATTTATTGAAATGGATGGATTTAATATTTTGCTTAACTCAATAAATCTGCTGTTTAGTAAACTCAGAGACTAGAATGTGCTCACATAGATGAAACCCACCTGGCCGAGTACAATAATATGAAAGTGTGTGGTAAGGAACCATAAAGTATACGCAAAGCTTTTGATTCTTTTCAGACTTTTTGACACGCTTAAAACAAGTGATTGACAAAGCTGCAAAGAATTTCTTTTGTTTGAGATCCAAGTAGTTTAAGACCAGTACAAGGTGTTAATGATAATATTTTTTCATTTTGTTTTTTAGGATAAACAGATTCAGAAGAAAACTGTGTGGTGTGCATGTTTAAAATGTTTTATTTAATTTTTAATCATTAAATTTACAATTGCTAAGCTTACGGAAAGGATGCGGTTTTATTTTTGTAATGGAGAAGAAGACAATTTCCTATCTCTCAGCCTAGCCTTCCTAAAATACTGATGTTACAAATAAGGTCCTTGTTGTGTAGCGTGAACTGCCAACTGTGGGCTCAAAAATGTCTGCATGAAATAAAGCTTAACTGTTAGCTCTGTTCCATACAACCTAGTTTTTCCCACAGTCAACCTCCCATTTACTTCAATGAGGAATAATTCTTATCCAGTGAACTTTCTTGCCGCAGTAACAATGTGTAACTAGCCTTACGTACTTCTGGAACAGACCTTGTATAGTAAACAGGTCCTTTAACCAGTCAATTCTGCTTTCACGTTAACCTACGTGTCCAGGGATTAACAGTTAGGCCTTTTCTCATACCACTGTCTTCTGTGGGTATTTATTTATTTATTTCATTGTGGTTTTTTTTTTTTCAGTTTTGATCCAGCACGAGCTGAGACAACTTTGATGGGGTCAGAGGCTTTTTAAGGCATCCAAAAGGTGAGTACTTTCATCTTGTGTAAACACATCCCTTTCATGAAAGGAAAGACTGCGGTGCTTAAAAAAGCTGTAAGAAAACAGCAAATGGACCACATTAATACAGCAAAAAGACCATTTAGACTCCCTTTATTAGCACTGCAGGCTTCTGATACATTAACAAAAGTACATGTTCCAAGGGAAACGGTCATTTTTAGATCTTAGGTCTTCCAGTAAAAGGTTTTTAACTGAAGAGGAAGGAAGTAATGAGAATAAATATGCTAAAAATTCATGGTTGTCTTGATAATGATTAAATTTTTGTGCAGATGCAATCCTTTTTTGTTGTTGTGTCAGTGGAATTCTGAGCTTTTAAAAACAACTTTGTAGCATGGGCCACTTATTTAATATAAAATTAACAGTTCTGCAAATTAAGCTGGTCCAGCTGCTGGCCTCATTTCTATCAGTTCAAATTCCAGCGGACTCCACTAAATTCTGTAGACTGTGCTATAGAGGCAGTGATGAGAAAAACCTCAGATGGATATTCTTTAGCCATTGGAGGTTTGCCTGCAACCAGGTAATTAGGAGGGATTGTAGGAAACTCAAGAGGATCTGTTACTGTTACTAAAGTAATTATATAATTAGGACAAAAGTAAATCATGTGGTAGCATTTTGGGCCATGGAGAACATATGCCAGCATTATAAAGAATACTGAGCACAGTGTGAAACCCAAATCCTCCCTTTTAAAACTTACTATAAACAAATCTGAAATAACAATAGGTCTGGTCTGTGATCTCCAGCTGGGAGTTACATTCACATCAGCAGAAAAATTAAATCAAAGCTGATGAACTGCCCTAAGCTCAGCTGTACAGAAAACTTGTTCAGATAACAGGTACATTAGAAGTGTGAAATCTTTCTGGCAATAAAAAAGACATATCTGAAATAAAACAAATCCTCTTAAAAAGCTTTGGAGAACATCCTAAAAAAAATGACAATCCACTCAAACACTTGCTCCTAAAAGCACTGCTCCAGACTAGCAAAAAGGTGGGGTTTTTAAAGTTGCTGAGGCACAATATTTTATGTGTCTTTAATACTTTTTTGAAAGGTAAGTCTTGTAGCACTAAAGGAAAGATAGAGTCACTCTCCTGCTGTGCCTACAGAATTATCATGTATATTTCTTATTGTTTCATGTTGTAATGTTCTGTGCATTAAGATTATAATCCGAACAAAGCCATCCTAGCTCTATGGGCAGCTAGTCCTTTTGTTAGTTGGTTCTTATTTCAGCTGGCTCTAAAATATAATTAATATAATTTTGCTTCCTAAGATACATATTTTCTATTTACTTTGCTGGCACCTGAAGAAAAATGACACTAAGCCAAAGAATGGTAATAGGAAGAGGGGAATTCAACTTTTATCTCATTTTAAAGATGGGAACATATCCACTTGAGAAGACAAAGTGACTTTAACCTTACTTTGCTCTCCTGGTCTTGTAGAGGATTGATTCAGGCTTATAAAATTATCCTGCAGGGACAGAACTGTAGTTACAGACTTTCATTTTTAATCAACAAAACTTCCACATCCTCTTCTATTATTCATGCCAGCAGTAGCTCACACGATTTCCAGCAGTTTAGCTACTATAACACGTCTCAGCATAAGCTGAAAATCCACCCAAGAAGCAAATTACTGATCTCCATAATCCTGCAGCAAGACTGCTACTGGAGTTGAGTTAGCCTGTTTAAAGTTAGCTTGGCTAGGTGTCTGCTGCACTGCAGTGACTCTGGTAGATTTTACCTGAAGGGTTCACTGTGGGAGAAAATAACTTAGCTGGTGAACAGTACCGTGCCTGGTCACATTTTATACCACAAAATACAACAGGATATTGTCCAAGGCTGTTGTAAGGAGAGTAACACCCATGACTTGTTGGGAAGAGCTTCCCAGTGACAGAAGATAGGACAAAGTAAACAACTGAAGTGAGCACTACCAGAATAAAATATTTCCCTAGCCAGTTAGTGGGAAATTCAATCTTATATACTCAGAGCCTGGGACATAGGTCTCGGTTAATTCAGCTAAACATTCCCATATGAGAAAAACCTACAGATTTTAGTAGAAATTAAACTGAAATAGAATGTTATGGAAATTATTTTGCACAGCTGGAAGAAAAAATGCAGAAATAACACAAAGAAAAAACCAAAGTAATTTCTGTCCTTCCTGTAGATGTTCTATGGCAGCTGCTATAAGCCTGTGCGTCAGAGACCATCCATTCTACAGATACTCCAAACCAGTCAGAGAGCTGTACTGAGTCTTTTGTCGGTTCTAGATAACTCCCCAAGTTGGTTTAAGTTGAAGACTTCCATCCCTATTCAGTTCTCTCAAATTCTGTCAAACTGACTGTTTGCTTTGTCATAGTGAGAACCCACTGAGATGCTGGGGGATGCGCTAGAAGTTTTGAACAGGAGCCCCTCCCATAGCACCCCTGCCCTAGCTGCCAAAAACCACCACCAGACAAAAACCCATCAGTTTACGAATGTCTACAAAACTAGGTGGAGAAATTTGAGGTGATAATTATTTGCGACAACTTTCTCTGGGTCTCTGAATGCAAGAACAAACAAAATCAGAAGAAAGTGCCAGTTCATTTACTGACTTTGTTATGGGAGCTCTAGAAGACAATTCAGTACCATGTGAAGCTTCTGAAAAATTAAAGGTTTAAGGAAACACTAGGAATGAAAAGCTGCTTTTTGAGATACACAGTGCTCAACTGCCACAACCTTAGGTCTTCTGCCAGTAGTGGTAAAACACTGATTTCTGTACATGCACTATAGCACTGAAATGATTAACATGAATAGCTACAACTTAAAGCCTGCTGCCAGCAATACCAGCATCTTCTTGCAAAAGAAATAACCATGGTAACGTTGTAGTACAAGCTGGCTAATACTAACTTTTCATTGGTGGCTTTTGTGCCACTGAGGATAAAAATTCAGTCTGTTTTGATGAGCTCTGTTACACGTCAATAACGTGCAAGTCTTACATATGGATTTCTAGATAGCTGTATACAGATATCTGCTCTTACAGAAGAATTTCCAGAAGTGAAAATCTTTCGGGATCAATATGCAATCTTTGCCACGGCTTCACACGCACCTCATAACAAATTTAAATACAGTAACAGACGATCAAATGGTTTGACTTAGAACCATTTTGGTCTTCTTTTAAAGTAGAATACAGTTGAAGTTACCCAGGGCCTTTCTTCCTCCTTGTTTTGTTCAGTGGCGATAACTAGCAACAGATAGAGCTTTGCATGCCAGAAAGAATTATGTGGCAATGCTTTTGTCATATGATGGGATGGAAAGAATTTGTTTAGCTGTTAGACTCTGCAGCAGAGGTTTACAGATATCAAAAAGTGGTTCAAAGCCCCTGAAGTCAGATGCAGAACTTGGTCAGTTTGCATTTGCAATGCTTCACAGGAAAATGAGAACTCTTTGTACAAGTAGCACTATACAAGCCTGGCTGATCTGATCTTAAAGGACATTTTCTGCATCTGGAATGCAATGTTTCTGTGACACTTCTGTCAGCAAGAATAGATTGAGTAAGAGTTTGAGTCAAGTTCTTTCACTATTAAGTGAACGTAATTCCATTCTTCATGCACATCTGTCCAGAAGTCAAGTCCTCTCTTGCACTGCTTTTTTCCCATTGTTACTACTTCTTGGGTCCTTTTTATAAGCTCTTCTGTGAATCAAACTGTTTTCATCTTTTCATTTATGGAATTTCTTGCTAGCTGTTATTTTTAAGTGAGACTTTGTTTTCTCACATGCCTCATGGAAATATAGGCAAATGTGAAAAACATTTACTGGAAAAATCTCCATACTTCAGCAGGCCCAGAGGATTTAATAATCAGCATGAGATTTTCTTCCTCTCAGTTGCTGACTCTTTTGTTTTAAAAAAAGAGTACTAATACTAAAGAAACAAACAAAAACCCCCAGTTGCTTCTCTCAGTGTTTATTTTTGGATGTCTTCCAGAATCGTCTTTTGACTGTGGCTGCTGACATCCCAGGCTAAGGCAGCGTTCACTAGCCTCAGTATTACCAGAGGGGCTTTGGAGATTTTTAGATTTGATTTTATTTTCTTGTTCTGAACAGGGAGGAGACAGTGTTCTGTATTATTTTTTTTTAAACAAAAACACAGCAGAATGGAAATAGCAAATTAAGGACTGATTCACTGACTCCAACATCTGCCCAGAAACGTGTCAGCAATATGTTACAGTGAGAGGGAAAACAACCTCCTGGTACAGACTTTAAAATCAGAAAAAAAAAAATTAAACCGTGCCCTCCTTTTCTGTAAGAAATCTTACAGTTTAGCTCCTTCAATTTATCACAAGTGTAACACTCTTCTCAAACATCAGGTTGGCTGAACTTTTCCAAATAAATTCCTGCTTCATTTCCACTTGCTGATGCACTTAGGAGTAGAAAACTAGCTGAAGATACGGCCAATTGCAGGTTTACTCAGCCTCTAAGTCATGCTGTAGTGGACCGAGAGACTACAGCTCTTATTCCTTTCCCCACCTACTGTCAGGACTCGGTGAGAAGTAAACACTTTCACGCTCCCTGACCAGCAAGATTTTGTAATTCATTTCTGATCTCCCAATTACATACAGCATAGCATTTTTTTTTCCGTTCAACAAAAAAAAGAAAATGGGATGGCTTGGGTGAAATTTCAAGCCTTGAATCAGCCTGACATGGACCACTGGTCCCTGACAGCATTTCGCACAACATCTGCTCTGCTCATCAGCTGGCCCTGGGCCAGCACTGGCTGCGGCTGGTTAGAAAGGGGAAGACTTTTAAGAGGGAGTGGGAGTAGGAGAGGATCAAGTGCTGTCCTTGGAAGAACTGAAAAAATATTTTAAACCAGATTTAACAGTAAGTGAAGAAAGGAAATCCTGGCTGATCATCTGGGTCAGCTACAGTAAGTTTCAACCAAAAAGTTTAATGAATTTATTTAATGAAAAAAGGTACAGTGCAGTAAGAGTCAAGGTGACACATTTTGTAAGAAGAGTAAAAGATGGAAGGGCTAGAAAAAAAAGGTATGATGTTTTCAGACCAATCTTGGCAGCATTTCTGTTTGGAGCTTAGAGTGTAATGGCTGAAAGCTACTGAATTTGGGACCAAAAAAACCCCAAATTTACTTTACTTACTCCATAATTAAAATACTGGACTTCCGGTTTTTTTCCCCATTCATTGTCTTTCATTGACTTTACTGGATTCACTCTTAAACTACTCAGTGCAAGAAGACATTGTTAGTCCATAAAACCAATTCTCCTTACTGCAACAGCATCAGACAGGAAAAGAGAACTTATGTGAGAAGCAGTATGGACAGGAAATGCGTACAAGAGTTCAGTGAGCAGATTCACATTATTTTAAATTAGGAGTGATTTAAGTTATATGACTTCTGGATGACTTTCAATGCCTGATGTTAATAAGCACTTCATATGTTTCTTAACTCATTACTTATAAGCTGAGTTAATAGAATGTAAAAAAACATCCTTTTAGGCAGTAACGAAACCCAAGTTCATGTTCTTTGTAGAAAATAATGCAGATAAAAAATAAGCTGAAGTACAGTAACTCTTAACTGAAATCTGAGCATGCACTGAGATAGCCTAGTAAGTGTGCAAAGATCTTTAGCGCTGACAGAAACTTCATACCGGAACCTGGAACAGCACTTCTAGAGTTAAATACATATAGTCTACTTCTGCATCTGGGATTAAACTCTTCCTGACAATTCCCTTTGCCTTACATTACTGAACTTGATAAGACAAAATTAAAGTCCAAGGAAACCTAAGAGGTTTTTTTTTTAAAAAGAGATGGTTTTATACCGTAAGATAATGACGGCCAGCTAAGAAAAGTTTAAAGCATGAGCATAACTGAAAACAGTATTACATGAAGTGATCCAAATACTGCAACTTACCTCTTCCCTATGATTCTTTATTGGCATACAGAGAATACTCTGAGTCTTATACCCTGTGATCTGGTCAACTTCTGCATTGAATCTTGGATCCTAATACAAGAAAAAAATACAGTTATTTGACTATCTGCTGAAAGATCTTTTCTTTTTCCTCCCCGGTTTAAAGGCTAAGAAAAGCGCAGAATTTGATTAAACTGTTACCCAGGATAACAAAGGTTCCATTAGTAGCTAATAGTTACATGAAGTTGTCACTATAGACATATATGCATGTCCACACAGCCACACATCCCAGCTGGTTATTGCTACATCTATTTTTTTTAATACCGATTTTTTTAACAAATGTGTACATGGACTATCCCTGGTATAGCAAAAAGAAATTACAAAATAATCCAAAAGACCACAGAGGAACAAAGTTTCATAAATATGGTTTGTGGTTTTGTTTGTAACAGAGATAACTTGTTTCATTTTTTCAGCTGAATATTGTTACACTTACTTACTTACTAAAACAATTTAGACTGTTTTTAAAGGCTGATGTTCTTTCTCTAGTAATTGATTTCAAGTTGAGCATGATGGATCCAGTTCAAGAATGAACTTTTAAAGGATAAGGATGGGCAATGTCCTGCTGGAAACATGTACTTAGCAAGTTTCTGAGGCAGCAAACAAGTGTCTCTTGAAAACGAAACCACATATACTCCAACACATACACTAAAATGGCAATATTACAACAGCTGATAACACGGCTTTTCATTTTCGTCAAGAATTGCTCAAGATAAATTTTCTTGGTTTACCTCATACGCATTCTTGATGTTCAGAGGCTGGCCTATAGCTGCTACATGACCCACAATGCCCTTGTTCCACTCCAGGCGAATGCAGTTGTTGGAAGCTTCTTCCAGGGTGGAGCCTTCAGCCACGTCAAAGAGCCTGCTTACAAGAAACTTCTCATTAGAGCTATCCTCACAGACCAAGAACAGGGAATAGCGATCAGCTGCTATTAGCTCATGGATATGTAGGAAAATTTTATGGCAAAGTGCTGTGACATCCAAGTGACTAGAAATGTCCTTCACAAGTTCTAGCAGTCTTGAGCACTGATCTCCTGCACTGGTCTCAATCCTTGGAGATTGCAGAGGCATCTGTTCCTTCTTTTCAGAGCCAGAGAGGAAGCTCACTGCTCCTACTGAATCCTTGACAAAAATAGGCCTTAAGGGTCTGTCAAATTCAGAAGCAGAGATTTTCCTTGCTGGCGTCCCGGAGTTGGTTGTCTCGGCACAGGCAGGCTGGTGACAAGCACAGGATTCACTGTGGGACTTGGTTCCCTCCTTGCAGACTGGGATGGTATGAACTCTCTCAGCAAACCATGCATTAACCATTTCTCTGTAAAACAAAAATAAAAATACCATGAACGAGGTAAGTTTAAAATCCTGAGGAAGTAACAGATATTTGAAGAGGACACTGCGAAGAGGATAACTAAACTTTTTCATACAGTGGTTCCGAGTGCCCCTTTAGTGCTCCGCCGGATCAATGTTCTTCAGTTTTATGCTGCACTGGCTAGGAATGTTTTATACCCCATAAGAAGGAAGCTCTTTCTGCCTAAAGGAGATACCTGAATAGGGCAGAGGAAGAATGGTTATGCTGTAGCTTTCAGAACATAGACGACCAAAAGTTTACACCATAATTTTGTGCTTGGATAGTTCTGGTCCTTCCCATTCCTCAGATTTGGATTTCTGCACTAGGTATAGCTATATGAAGACCAAACTTTCTGGTTTAATTCTATTTTTTCTAGACCATTACTAACTTTAAAAGATAATTTTGAAATTTAATTCTTTCTGTCAAATCACCTGCAGCCCCTCCTATTTCTATGTCTCTCAGAATTAAAGAATCCTGTTTTGGCTCCAAGCATGAATGTTTTGCTTAAAAGTGTCAGAAAGAAACATGAATTATTTCTAATTCAGCCCTCTTCAAAAGAATGAAGACACACTGTTTTCACGCATCTCCTACTTCTGTTCCTTGCTGATGAAACTCATTGCCTAACTCAACCCAAAATGCCGAATATTCCAAAAACTGTATTTTTAAAAGTTTACTGTTTATTAAAAAATGTCATAGTTCTCTAGTATTCCACTGTTTCTCAAATTAACTTAGCACTAGAACGCCAACTCTAAAAAGGTCCTCATTAAATACAGCATAACTTGAATTACCCCTAAGCACACATATATACATCAATGGCACGAGTTACTTTTTAATAACGCTATGTTTTCTTGTCCAAAATCTGGTTTTGGGGGGTTTTATTTGTGGGGTTTAGTAATTTCATTTACCCAGTGCTGATAATTCCTCAAAGCACGTTATCTGCTCTCAAAAGAGATGTGTTTTTTTTTCCTGGATTACATAATGTACGGGCCTATGAACAGCAAAAATCCTATTAAAAAGTCTGATCTTTTGGAAACCTTTCATGGTGGTCATGTTTTAAATTTGGGATATTTTTTATTTGCTCAACAGACCACAGGAATTTCGAGAGTGAAGCTGAATGAAACCATGGAAATTACTCAGGTTAGTCAGCCGCTGATCGGTTACATGCGTCCCTGTGTGTGAAATATGAGAAGCACTGTAAATCGCCTTTTTTTCCTTACCTATGTTGTAGAACGCAATACTGCAAGTGTAATTTACCATTAATTCAAAGCAAAGTAATTAACTGAAATCCGAAGTCCACCAATATTATTTTTATTAGCAAACAATCCACAAAGGGAAACCTGTTTGTCTTCTGTTAGGAAAGTTTGAAAGAGTTCTTCAAATCTTGCAATTGCCTATCATTAGGAGGCCTCAGCTGTATGCAGACATGCTCTGAAAAAAGTGAACTGATTTAGGAAATAGCCAGAATGTAAAGGGAGCACCTGGACAAAAGAAGTCAGTATGTTATTGTACCCATTCCACTTGAGGGCCAGCTACCTGATTATCTTTTTCCCTCAAAAAACTATGTCTGACTGAGGTAAACATCACTTAATGTAGCACTGTAAAACCAAATTCTTCTCTTATTCACACCAATGTGACTCCAAATTAATGCACAATAGACTATTCTTTATTTTGGCTTCTGTCTGTGTTCTCTGATCCTGATCACACAAAAACTTACGTACGTGGTTAATACCATTTATAGCCCTCGTAATATTCAAGGCTGACTGGTCAATGTGGTCACATAGGACATCTGTGCATCTTGTGACGATGAGAGTCCATAAACCACTGAGTGAAAAGTTGGACACAGTCAGGGCGGTGGGAGTTTTACCTCCAAGTTCCACAGAGCTAGGATTTCTTTTCATGTTTTTACATTTTCCATGAAGCTCCTGGAATAGTGCTTGCTGTACCAGTAATATACCTCAGTCAACATCTATTATAAATTTCCCAGCAATCTAAAGCGAGTCAAATTCCTGGAAACATAGCACCAGAGAACACAATGAAATTCCATTATTATTCTGAAAGAGTTTTGGTTCATTGCTTAGCTACTTATTTTTAAAATAAGTAAATTCTGCTTTTAAGTCTATTAATACAAACCACCAAGGACCCTTCTTTATTACAGTAGTTATATGTACTTTTGATGGGGTTCCTCCTCCAAATGTTTTTTGCGGTGAAGAAGCCTACAGAACAATTAATATGTTGAGAGAACTTTAACAAGAATATTTCATAGTACTGAAACTGGTTAGTAGATGTGGAAGCTGTGACTGTGTATTACTGAAATGCATCGTATAATTTGCATAGGGCACTATCACAGTGCCTCAATAACAGTCAAAATAAGAAGCTAGTATTTGACAGCATTTGGAATTTTCATTTATTAAACTGAATGAGAGAACAGGAAAAAAAATGGTGATGAAAATTACCAAAGGTATCCTTAAGAAAAATAAAAAGCTTAAATTGCAGAAATGTGGAGTACAAGCTCTAAAATCAGTGCTGGTAACACTCGTCATCATATGTGTTTTGTTATATGTGGGTTCTTCTTGTTTTACTCCTTAAGAAATTTCCTGGAAATTTTAGCTTTTTCTTCCAACATAGGCCATTCTATGATTCTAAACAAAATCTAGCATCTGGCACTAAGGTTGCAAAAAAGAGCCTGCAAATCCAAGCTGAGTAGATTTAAATCCTCAGGCACAAGAAGGTAGGTACAGAATAATCAATATTTTTAAAAGAAGACTTCTGACTTGACCGAGTTTCATGACTGTGTATGCTGGCTTCAGTTTTGAACACTGAGGATTGGCATTAATGTAACATAAGACTTAGAAGTAATAGTAAAAAACTAGTGTCGGATGGAAAGCGTGTACTTTGAGTAGGCATGTTTGTGAACACATGGGCATGGACCCGTACTGCTGCTGAGTGACAGCGATTTGTAGAGCAATCTGATTCACTGCTTATGTACACGGGAGGAAAGAATATAAAATGCTCTTTTTCACCCTGGATTTACATTCGTGGATGTGTTAATAAAACATACAAGGCAAAGAAAGATTCGGGTAATCTTAGTGGACAAAGCAAGAGCTAAAGCAGAAATTTAGTTTATCAGCTGGAACCTACCATTTTATTCATTCTGGAGTGTTGTGTAATGATGTCCCCTGGCCTTAACGGTGTAGTAAATAGTAAGAATAACATATTCTGAACTCTAATATCAGTTCACAAACTGTGGCCATGAGGTACTTTAGTTTTTACCTTCTTGCCTTTTTTACTATGTAAAATAAGAATTCATTTCTCCATCTTACGGAGGTTGTTGAGAGATGTGGAACATAACTAAGATCTTTCACATGAATGTAATTACATTTCTTTAATAAGAACCGACTACTTGTTAGGTATCTGCACTATTTGTGAAGCACTTTGTCACTGAACAGCTGCATAATTGTGAGTAAGATATTACTGTCCCCTTAATGTCTCTTTGATGATGGTGCAATAACTTGCCCACAGTGTGCGATTCTCAAAAAGCTCTGCAGGGTAACAACAACAACAAATCCTCAACTATACCGTTCAAGCATGGTTTTCAACTTCAAACCATTTAGGCATTTTTATTTGGACAACAGGAAAGCTGTTCAAATTCAGCTGGAATAAGAACAGTGTTCACTGACCTTTACTGAATGCCTCTTCTGACAAGGAAACTATTTAGCTCCTTTTACTCACAGTTACACACACGGGTGGAAGAACTAGCATTTCACATTAACTGACGTATTCTAACTCTATTTAAAATCTGTCAGACAAAGTCTTGACGTACATTTGCTTGCTGACACTCAATCCTACTTACCAAGGCACAACAAGAAGGGTATTATTACTGACACAACTACTTTCTCACCACAGAATTAGCTCAACAGATATCCAATACCAGACACAGACCGAACCACAAGTGAGGTTACTGGAAATGAGCAACGAGTGCTATATATGATTACGATGTAATTTTCAAAGGCCTATGGGCAGAAACAAACATCTGTGACTACTCTGTTCATATGAAGAGTCTTCAGTAAACCTTGGCATTGTCAAGAGCTGATGGTAAGGACAAGATCCTTGCTGCAGCAGTAAGCTGAGAAGTTGCACGAGTGTGTTAAACAGGAGCAGGTACTGATCCATAGTTGCATGCAGATAATTAAAACCAAAGCAATGTCTCCATCCCAGCAGAGTACTCACTCTGCGTGTTGAGGAGTTCCAGGCATCAGCATCCACTCCTCACGAGCTGCATGCATCCTTTACTGCACTATGATCCTTGACTGCAGCAAAAGCCTCCACTCACGAAAGCTATAATTTATCCCAGAGTACATAAACAGGAATAGCTGAATATGAAGTAACCACTTTTAGTTATTTCTTTCATCTATAAAACAGAATTTCAAAGGAGAGTGACTAGAGTGACTGCTGAATTTGACTAGTGACTTCATCAGCAAATTAAAAAAAAACTGGAGAGAAATTCTGAAGAGATAGGGATGAGGAGGGGATGGAAATACAATGGCAAGTAAAATACTTAAAGAAAAAAAATGATAGTGTGATCGTCCTCTCTGTAATCACTTGTATACAGGTACATGTTATCTGCATTACGTGAGAACACAAGAACTTCAGAGGAATCAAGACTCTTTGGCCCTAATTTGTTAAACAGTAGATAATATAAACCTCTCCCTAAAGCAAGAAGTTTTCAATACGAATAGGCAGAGCTGAAGGGAATCTCTGGGTATAAGGCCTGACTGAAGAGAACCTTGCTTTATTTCTTGTGCCCTAGGTACCAAACCGTGCTGATCTGACAGGAATTGCTATTCTGCTCGTACACTGGGAATATTAAATAATTTATTGGACCCATCTTTGCTTGATTAGTGATTATCATCAAAATACACAGGATACTTCTCAAAAAACCCAACCCAGTGTGGATGTTTAATGAGAACAGCCCGATTATAATTGTCTTGCTCACACATGTAACCATGCTACGTGCGTAAAACCATGCCAGTGTGACCTTTCAGCAAGTATTTGGTATCTTTGGCCAAAATGTGCAAAAACAGAGCACAAAAATAACGCCAAGATGCAATGGTGACAGTACGCGGCATCTTAGTTTGCACAAAGAATGCAAAATAGTTACTGCATATAAAAATATTGATGAGTAGCTTTCAGTGAAACAACAAATAATTCCCCATCTTCTCTGTTGCTCATAAATCTTTCATATATACAATGTGTAATGTTTCGGTAGTTGTGTGGACTGTTGTCCTAATTTTTCATTCAAACCATCAGTTACCGATAAAATGTTCCAAACTTGCCTATTAGAAAATGCCAGCTTTCAATTATCTGAATTCCTGTAGCCTAATCCTGTTAGTGTTGAAATCAACATTTCAAGCCAAGCTTCCTATTTTCTCAATTGCTTTCCTTAAAATAACCACTAGATGTCTTCAAATTTCTCTCCTGCTTCCTGACATAATTTAGACATAGAAATTATTTAAAGCATTGGCAACAACTTGTAAGTTATTCAGTTTTAAAAAATGGGTTTGAAAGTCACTTAGATATTATACTTGTCTTCCTATTTTCTTTCCTGTTTCACAAACATGTTCTAAGTGTTTCTATCTCCTTTCTGGACCTGGAAAGATTTAAATAAACTGTATAAGGCCTCAGAGGGAAACAATAAGCTGACTTTAAAAGCAATGTTTTCAAACTGACTAAAAAAGTAGACTGGCAAATACAATAGTTCTTTTCCTTAAACCCTTTCCAGCTATAGTTACTAGAAATGCTATTTCTAATACTGGTGGGCAAATAGGTTTTTGAAGATGAAGAATGACTTCAAGTTGGTGCCAATTTTTTGGCACAATGCAGTCAAATACATAACTTGAAACGTGCTAAGTGGCCTGACTTAGTTCTGTTTGAATACAATCTAAATTAAGAACTGTAATACTTGATTCAAACCATGCTCATGAAAAAGTGAAATAACAACTTTTAGAACTATTAAATAGCCTAAATCTTGTCTGAAAGCTGTTGGTTTTTCTTAAGAGGAGGCAGAGGTTGCTTTATTATTTGAAGCAAAACTATTTGAAATGGAAGACTAACAGGCTATTCTTGGCTATTTTCAAGTTTTTGTTAACAACCAAACTGCAAGCTTAACTTTTCACAAGAAAGGTTTTCTCCACAAAAGGGACTTTCTATTCACACTATAAAGAAAAGCAGAATAAATCCTCAGGGATCGAAGATCACATTGCAAAACATGACCTCCAGTTCTCCTCCAAATGTTTACTTCTTGTTCCAAGCTCACCAAAATTAAAAGTAACTGTGCGCCTAATGATTTCACTGTGGAAAGCAATAGGACAATGCCAGTGACTTTGGTGAAAGATGGATTAAAAGTTAAGTTCACACCTGTCTGGAGACCTCATGTAAGTCTTAGGCACCACTTCAGTTCCACTTAAATTCCTAAAATAGGAGCTAAGTAGCATGTAAGTGGTGCAGAGGCTCTCTGTGCTAGGCTGAGTTCACCATAATGCACTAATAAATGGAAAAATATGTATCTTTTACTAAGCAAATATATTTTGTGGCTACATTTTCAGTGCCAGACCTAATGGGAAATTACAGCCATTGAGCTATTCACAAGGGCCATTTGAGCAGGGTTTCTTTTCTGGCACTTTGTAAATAGCTCCTTTTGTATTTAAAGCTTTTTTATTATTATTTTCCTTCAAGCAAATCATACAAATGAGAAACCATTCCATGTAAAATTATGTTTCTTTGCCAGTAAGGAAGAAAAAGACCTATTCTGTGGGTTTATTAATTATATTCATTCATGACGAAAGCAAAATGCTTCCTCTTCAATGGTGAAAATTAAAATAGGTGGTAGCATATTAGTTCAAGTCAAGAATGTATTGTCTAAAATTGCTTTGTTTGTAATTCATGATTTGACTCATATATTCCCACACGCTTCAGCTTAAATCTGGCATTTGAATAAGCACGAACATAGTCTATGATCTATCTGATTTGATCCGAATGCATCACAGGTGATGTATCATTCATTTTATCCTTGTGCAGAGACGTAGCACCAGGTCAACACACTACAGAAGTCTCACTACAGCTTCAAGATAAGACTGATTGGTATTTTTATTTTATATATGTAGTCACTGTCCTAATCCTGTACAAAGACACTAATTTCCTCCTCGTGTGATGATTCTTCAACAGATGCTCGACATAAAACTTCCATGAACTTCTACAATGTAGAAATAAAAGAAAGGTATTTAACTTCCGTGTCTCCCGCAGGCAATGTATGTCTCTGCTCCACTTTTCTTCCCAGCTGCCAGAAATTTGATTCTGTTCTCTCAAATCTGCCTCGTAAGTGCAAAAAAATGGAAATGAGATTTCAAATGCCTCTTGGTGTTATCAAAAGCACTGTAATATGATAAGAAAGTTACCCTGAAAGCAAAGAAGGCAGCAAGGGATGTTAACTGTTAAAGTAGTTCTCCCCATCTTATCTTCTACCTGTCCTCTAAGGTTTACCACTTGTATTTTAATGTATTGTGCACACCCCTTTGTTTCTTTATTACCTAGGGCAAACAGTACGTAGTAGAAGCACGTTCTCTTTGTAGCTCCTCAGTACTATCTACTGACTAGTTTATCTTCATACCGAAGATTCCATGTAGGAGTTCAGGTTTATAGCTTTTTGGGGAATTAAAAATGTAAATTCCTAGTAGATGATTTTTTATCGCTTTTCAAATGACAGTTGGGTTAGACATTGTTTACAAAATACTCCGGCACACACCTAGCTTTATTTCCAAGAATAAATGCCAAAAATACTTAATTCCATTTACAACTTCATGAATGTGGATAACACTGCTTACCTTCCTTAGTGATTTTTGAACCAGGAGTTTAAATTATTTTGGAATGATCTTACTATTTTGCGGTTATCAAGAATGGCCTTAAGATATGGATACATTATTTATAAGTGGCACAACCACAGAGGTCATTAGATCAACAAGAAAACTTCCCAAGTTTTTATAGAAATCCATTTTTTTTTTCTGTAGTTCATTCTCAGAAAAGCTCTGTAAACACCTAATAAAAAAGCAAGTGGGAGAAAATATTCTGATCCCTGCATTAACACCACTGCTTCCTGTGGTTTTCAAGCCATAGGCCAAAGAACGAGTGGGTCAGCAGTCCTCTTGTGAATGCTCCCCATAAGATAACTTAGAAAAGCAAGTCCCCGTTCTGCATCTTTGAACCATCTGGCTAGGATTGTGTTCCTCCACGGGAAAACTGTTAAGGGTCCTTCAATAACAGAAGTTTAAAACTCACTGCTTGTTTACCAAGGTCATGTTAGAGATGAATCTGGCTAATACCTGTGTATTTTTAGGATTGTTATTTTTGTGTCAGTAATACCTTTTAAAGAAAAAACAGATGCCAAAGCACACACCAGTGCAGAATATCTTCAACAGCTCTGCCTTTGAAAATGTGAATTCATTTCCCTTCAGTTAGAAAAAATCAAGCACAGATATATTACCAAATAAAACAATTACATAATTTCAATTACATACGTGACATATAGTATTTATAAGATTAAGCATCAAATAGCCAGCTCAAAATGAAAGTTATTTTTAAAAAGCCCTCTAGACACAGAGGTTACAAGGCAAATGTCCTAAGAAATTTAGTACTGCAAGCAGCACGTTACAAACTGATTGTCCACCAGCCATCTAGAAGAAAAAAACAAACAAACAACTGGACTTGATTTTTTTCTAAGTAATAAATGTAGTGGATATATTCCAGTTGTGCAATCTCTCAATTCCAGCAAAGCAGAGTTTCCCAGTAAACGCCGCTTCTGTAATTGTCCATGAAGCGCTATGAAGTACCATGCTGTTAAGGACATTTATTTTTACAAATACAACCCCAGCTTAACTCATTTGTAAATATTACCTGACCCTGCTAACAAGCCAAGAGGTATTTAGAACAAAATAATCTTCCGTGCAGTGAAAGGCATACAAGACTCGGATTAAAATTTTTTATCTATCACTCCATACATTTAGGGAACCAAACAAAAACTGCCTGGAATAATGCAGTTGCCTCTAACTGAGACGAGAAATTTTTGCTCTGGCTCTTTTGGCAGTCTGCTGCTTTTGATCACAGAAAGCACTAAGAAAGAATCACTCCCGTATTTTTAAGAGTAAGGACAAACAGGAAGTCAGAAATACGTAAGTATTCCATAAGGGGGTAAAATAAGTATGATGTTGGAACATGACAATGCATGGTTGGGTTTTTTTAAGGAAAAGATAAAAATACAGGATGCAAATATTCAGCTGTAAATGCAGTACAATCTTGTGACAAAAACAGCTGCAGATTATACCTTTATAATATCCACTTAGAACAATTATATTTGTGGCAGCAGCTACCAAGAGCCTTTAACAACAGTCTACGACACAATCTAAAGGAAGAATCATTTTACTTTAAAACATTTCTTTTTTATGAAGCCAGAATAGGATAGGCAATTCCAAAACTTAGAAAGGGAAAAAAATAAGAGGAACTGAAAAAAAAACCACAACAAACACCTTAAATTGAGTAGGAGCTAGGCATTTAGAAACTCTTGAGCCCCTAAATGTGCCCTAACAAAACTCTCCAGCCAGGTTTGTCAACCAGCAGACTGCACCACAGAGTGAACCAAATTCATCCCGTCCTCAAGCATGCTGGTGACACACTTCCCCTTCGCTGTTCTGCGCTTTGATCCTACTGTAACAACACTTCATGGGTAACAGCTATTTAAATTACTTTTGCATACCACTGTCTCCCTGGTACAAAATAAAGTAACAAATAACTGATTCTGCAGCTTCTTCTCATAGGATCACACTTTATTCACATACTCAAAGGCGGGAGCAATGTAAAGCTATTCATGTGACCTGCCTGCAGACACTCTGCACATCGCAGGCACTGCAGGATCAAAATACAAGGTGTAAGCCATTTGTATATACATTTTAGGGGAAAGGAGGAAAGCTGGAGCAAATTTGTTAAGCGGACAACCTGCAGCCCTTCTCCCCAGGAATCCAGAATATGGATAAGAGGACCTTAGCAACTCAAACATTTGTCACGTTATGAACAATATTTAACACACACTAATTGTGAATAAAAAGAAACATTTTCTTTTGAAGTGCCACCTTGCCAGAAAACACATTTTTTATCTAAACCATGAAAACAGATACTAGTATGAAACTGACCTATACAAAATGGAATAACAGGTAACTATTCAATGACTATATGAGACGATGCAATTTCTGGACCTTAAAAAAACCCAACAAAACAAATCTGCAGGTGTAAGACCACCCAAAGCATTTCTAAGTATTATTTAGACACCTAATTAAAACTTATTTTGGTGGGAATTTATAAAACACTAATGTAATTAATTAATTAATTAATTTCAGGGAAATGCCTATCATAAAATTGCTAAATTAAGTTCTGATTCAAAGCTCATCACCATCAGTGGAAAGGGCTTCTACTGCAGGTGTAATAAATGGCTGAGCTGGTGATCTTTTCCTATTCCTGTGTAAAAATACTTGAGAAACAGATACAGATACTCTCTTAATCCATTAGCAATCGTGCCTTGCAATGTGGAATAGAATACACCTCTGTGCTCTGCAAGATACCAGATTAACTAACTTCTTGGTCTACTGCTCTTAGGACTTGTAAGGACTTTGGCATATTAGGAAGCAAAACAAAAAATAAGCAGCAGTAAATAGAGATTAGAAAACAGTTGAACCTAGTTCAAGGAATGCTGCTTCACTTGACTGAGTAAATATAATGCTAGAGTAAGATAATGTTAGCAGCAGAGTATTTGTTCAATGTATTACTGTTGTACAAAGATTCAGCTAAAATGAAGCATGACATTAAAGTTTAGGGGCTTTCTATTTTCAAGCACTATATAACACACCAACGTAGAACATTAAACCTATTTACCAAGTGTAGCAGTTCCTTCAAACTGCTCAGCTTTACAGGACACCACTTTAGCATTTGAACCAACATACAGTGAAGCAACTTGTGATTTGTCTTTTCACATACAAACTTAGAAATGAAAGAGGTATTCCTGATTATATAGTTATAGTTCTCTATTTATACGAAAAGGACAAAATCCCCAACATTCCATGCAGGACAGCAGAGGAGAGTTTCAAGACAAATCTGATGTTTCCATCACTTAAAAAGCATCACAGAATTGTTGCCAAGCAAGAACTCAAAAGTCAACAGTTTTTCTGCAACACCCTCTCTAAATGCAGGGGCATCGCCGTCATGGAGAAATGACTGAACTGTAGTTCGTGAACTACTGCCTATTTCAGACCCACACAAACACAAAACTGTGTCTCAGCATTAAAAGAAGAAGAAAAAAAAAAAAGACTAACCAAACCTCTCCATGGGGAAAAGAAACCTGACACAGCGGTTACTATTAATTAGCATTCCTATTTGTTCAATACTACTTCCAGTTTCCAAAGGAAGTGTGACAGGCTGAACTAATAAAACGCTACTTCTCAAAGCTGCTAACCCCCTATTTCCTGGGCAAACAAGCCACCCTTCAGTTACACACCATCCACTAGTGTGCTGGAGAGTATCAACGTTAACTACTTCCATCTACTCATCCTGCATCTTTGCACAGCCTTTAAAAGAAATCAACATTTAAAAGACATTTTAAAAGGCGCTTTTATTACTTTTTCTGTTAATTGAACCTAAGGAAGAAGCAGCAGAAGAGAGCGGGCTGCCTGACAGATGGTCACCCGAAAGCAGGCGACCCCCGAAGCTCTCTAGCTCGCTGCGAGTCAATTATTAATGGGGATTTCTCTTCTTACCGCCCCATCCCATGCAGAGAGGAGCAGCAGCAGCAGCAAAACCCCATTCAGAATGCATCCGTCCCTGCTAAGTGACTTGGGAAAGAAGTAAATCAGCAGCGGTGAGCAGATGGTGCAAGCGGCTGAGGAGCAGGAGAGAAGCGAGCCCGCGGAGACGGCGTGTCCGAGAACAAACCGCAGGACTTACTAACCCGAGCCCTCCACTAAGGCAGACCGTGGGAGCTGCAGATCGCCTGTGCTCTGCATCCCCACCGCTTTGTTTATCGGAAAATATTCAAAATGGAAACCTGACTCCACTTCTAAAAATAGCCGAATTTACTCGATTTCAACTCGAAGTCCCACTGCTGAAAGGGTGACAACGGTGAGCAAATACCTCGTCTGATCTCCAAAAGGCAGCATGTCAAGCCGGAGAGGGGCTGAAAAAAAAACCCCAGACGAGCTCTTCTGGTCTGTACATGAGGTTCTTCGCAAGAAACGACACGAGCGGGGACAGACGAGCCCGGAGCGGCCGCCCTCGCCGAGCGCTCCG